TCTTTTTGGTCTTATTTTATTTTGTACATCTTTTGCTCATCACATTGCTACAAATAGCTAAGATTTTTTTACCCCCAAGAGACCACAGTCAATAAGAACCAAATAGAATTTTTAGGACATAGCATAGAGTTTGGCTAGGTCATTTTTCAAAGCATTTATGAGCTTTTAGAAGGAAACTTTTTGTATAGCGGTTCAAGATGTCTTGCTCTTTAATGTAAGGATGTTTCTTGTTATTTTGAGAGCTAAATGTGCTTTGGGGAATAGGACTGAACTCAGTATAAAACAGACAACTCAAGTACTCTCAGGGTTTAGAGCTGTACTGACCAATCTGGTAGCCATTTAGCTACATGTGACTACTAAAATTTGAAGTAAATAAAAACTTAAATTCAGTTCCTCAGTCCCACTAGCCACTTTTCAATAGCCATATGTGGGTAGAGGGTTCCATGTTAGACAGCAGCAGTATGGAATATTTGCATGAAAGCAAAAAGCTCTGTTGGACAAGGATGGTTGAGAACAAGAGACAACGTAAGAATGTTGACATTCAAACCATGTCTGTGCCCAACTAGTTATGTGACCCTGGGCAGGTTACACTGAGACTCAGCTTCCTCATCAATAAAATGAATATAATATTAATCCTACTTTTGTGTTTTACTGTGAAGATTAAATGCTTATCGCCTTGCTTCAACATAAGTAAACATCTAAAGAGAGGCAAGCCATTATTTTTTTCCCCAGTGTTTGCTACTCTTTTTATCTTTTCTTTTTGAAGAAGGGGAATATTGTGTTTATTAGTTTAAAACTAGTAACTGAACAATTTTGTTGGCCTGGTTTCCAGCTAGACAAACAGAATGCAGTATTATTGGCTAAAAAAAAAACAACCCAGTTTGTCAGCATGGTACCTTTTGTTTTGTTTTGTTTTGTTTAAATACGTGGTCCCTAAGAAACATGACAGAATTTGTTTTACTTCTCTTCTGTCAGGAAGTAACCCTTCTGGCTTTGTTAGAAGCATGGTTTGTAATAATTGTACCCACCCCAGATGGCTCCTGAAAACCCTTTGAAATGCCATCTGTCAGGCGTGTGTCCAGCCCGCAGCCTGTCATTCTGCTACAAGAAAAGAGGAGGCGGGGGCCCTCCCTGGGTCCTTTCTCCCAGCATCGCTGAATGGAGCCTGGTATGTTGGCCCAGACCCAGCGCGGGTTGCTCCGAGGATAACCGGGTGTAAACCTCCTGCTAGCCTATGCAGGGAAAGGTTTTGTCTGGGTAATAAACCCTGAAGGTCCTGTTGGGGGAGACTTGCCCACCTACCCACCTCCTTCCCCTGCAAAATGGTGTCTCTGTTAGTTTTCTTTTTTTCCTCTAAAATATACCTTTTTTTTGGAGTTCTTGATTATTTCAAATCCTTTCAGAAAATTGGGACCCAGGAGTGACTGTTATTTGTAAAATGAGTCTGACAAATTAGATGCAAAAAACATGATTGAAAAGAAATGGCAAAATTAAGATAGTTATAGAAGGAGAGGGAAAAAAACATTGTCTAGTCTAGGAAGACTTTAAAAGCCCACAAGTCTTTGGTTCGGTTTTATTTTATCCTCATCCTTTTTTTGCAGTGGATTAGGTTAATGGAATGTGGGCGTGGAAACTGAGCATGTGAGTTACCATATAGAGCATATTGAGGACAGATCCAACCACAGCATGTTTCAAAGAGAGTCTGTTCTTGCACTGCACTGGAATTTCCCAAGATGAGGTAGACTGTTTGTGTTTTCCAAGTGGCCGGCTGAACAGCTTTTTCATTTGGCTCCAAGACCTCACACCCTCCTCCTTTGCTCCTGCCTTGCTGCCTACAGTTTCTTGCTTTTCTTTGAGGATTTGCCTTCTATTCCTAGCCTCTGAAACATAGACGGTCTTCATGTTCAATACATCCTTCTCTGCTGCTTTTTCAACAGTTTCTCCTGAGATTTGGTTTTCAGTGTCTTGCTTTCAAATGCCCCTGGTTTACTGATCAACTGATCACTTCTAAGTTTCTTCAGCCTTTAAGATCACTGGACCTCTACCTCTCTGTACCAAGGTGCCTAGTTTCAAATGTATTTGTCCAAAGTGAACTCTTGATCCCCTGCACCGACAATTTCCTCCAGTCTTCTCCATGTCAGTAAATGGTGCAACCCATTTACCCAGGTCAAAAAATGAGAAATCAGTCTGTATTCTTTCTTTTTTTGTCCTTTTTTTTTATTATTATTATATTGTTATATTAGAGTTACCTTGTGACATTTACAAAAATTCTCACAATATATCATAGTTAAATTCACCCCTTCTATTATTCTCCTTTATTCCCCTCCCCCTATTCCTGAATAGTTTCAACAGGTCTCATTTTTTCCATTTTCATACATGGATACATAATTTTTCTACCTCATTCACCTTCCTACACCCTTTCCTTATATTCTCCCCCTCCCATTGGTACTAAACCCCCAGATAGGACCTGTTTTACCTTCCTATTCTCTGCTTTTGAAAAAAAAGACATTTTTGTTTAAGATAGCTATATATTCTTCTTTCTTACATGTTATATCTCATCATTCAGCAAATTCTGTTATTTTTGTCTTTAAAATATAGTGAGAAGTTGACATACTTTTAGTTTTCCACGTTATGGACTCGTTACAACTCTAAGATATCCATGCTTTATAGTTGAAATCTGAGTGCTGCTTACTTCTTCCAAGTGTAATCTAGTGTACACTTGATTATCTCCCTCTTGAACTCTGGGGTAGCCACCTAACTGGTCCCACCTTCCCTTACTCTGTCCACAGCCTGCTCTCTGTAAAGGAGAGATCTTTTAAAAATAAAGGCACCACCTTGCTGCAAACCGTCTTATGACTTCTGGTTGCCCTAGGTGTGGCCTTCCTCATCTGACCCCTTGCTTTCATTTCTAACCTTATTGGCCTTCCACCAACATGCTGAGCCTAGTCAGCCCACATCAAAGCCTTTAACCTGACTGCCTGGAGACCTTCCTGTCACCTCCCACGAGCCAGGCTTTTCTTATTCCCCTACCTGGAACTGCATCCTTATTCCTTACCTTGCCTCCTTCAGCCAAGACACTCTGTAGCCCCCTCCCCTTCTAACTCTTTAGCCTGCAAAGGAATTATTTCCACCTAAAGTTATGTGCTATATTTGTTCACATGCATATTTATTTTCTGTCTCGTGGTAAAATACATATTTCGTTGGGGTGGGGACTTTGTCTTCACCATTGTCAGTGCCTTAATTGGTGCTTGGCATGTATTAAGACTTCAGAAAACACTTATTACATAAATGAAGCATACAAATGACATCTGTGCCATATATACATATATGTATATGTATATAGTGTCAGACTGTTAGATTGCCGTATGGGATTGGAAGTATAATGTTCTATCAACTCACTTAATTCTAGCAGTAAAAGAAACTGTAATATCTACTAGTAATTGCTGAGCCAAGCCTTCTAAAAGGCTCATCTCATTCAACATGTACAACAAACCTACGGTATGGTTTTGTATTATTAGCCCTACTTTATAGAAGAAGATACTGAGATGTAACAGAAGCCAAGTATGTCCAGGACCAGAAGTTGGGGTGTCAGTCCATGAACCTGCCTGACCCACCCAGGCCCCTGGCCTTCCACAATACAAGACACTCTCTTTCCTTGAGTACCCACTGTGTGTGCTGACATTTGACTTCCTGAACATGTGTGTGTATGTTGCTGGAGATCCAGCTACCTCAGATATTTTAAAGATTTGGTACATTGAATAATGTATTTAGCCTTAGTGATATATGCAAACAATTCTTGAGGTTTTGGACTAGGGGAATTATGACTTTCCAGGGTATACATGTGAACATGGCCCTTTACATAGGCATGGGATCAGGGATTGAATGGTACTAGGAAGGTCAGGACTGCTGGGCACATGAGGTTGGTTATTTAATTACTTTAAAATTGAAGAGATAGAATCCTAGGAATAGGGGAAATCCCTGCTTATTATACAGGAAAGCCTTAAATCACCACCACTGATAATGATGCCTTGCAAACTGAGCTGTGTTGATTTTATCCCCTAATCTGAACGTAGGAGCAGAAATCACTTTTTTTTCTTTGCTCTGTTTTGTTCTTCTGTAGTATTCAGCATAGGCTCCTAGTACACACTGCATAATCGCTTCTTAGTTTATTTTCTTTTCTTATTTTCTGTGTAAGCCTCATTCTGCTCATTGCCTCCACACTTGTGGTTGAGACTGAACTAAAATAATAGATTCACAGCTCGGCACCTGAGCGGGGTGCATTAAGTGCTGTTGAGGTTCTAGATTATTTCATAAAAGAAATTGTTCCACTGATTAGCTATTGAGAATATGAGCAGATTAATTCAGGGCGAGAGTTTTTCTTTCAACTGTGATGTCCTTCCTTTGTAGCGAGAGTTCATGGGTGGCCTCTTTACCAAACGTATTAATTACATGGAGAGCAGCAGCATTTTAATCCCTGGGAGATATCCAACCACAGATCTTGGGCAATTGCATTTCTCCAGTGATGTGTTTATGCAATGGGTGTCATTTTCTTCAAAGGGCTTATTACATTGGAACTTGCCGGATGTATCAGGGAGCACAAGAATTTCAAGGCCTGAGATAAAAATATAAGCCCCTTAGGCACTGAGCTTAGGGTGGATAACTTTTCAGTATTTACTGGAGCTCTAAAAGCTGCTAGTTGTGATTTTGTCTGTGTAATATCCTGTTCACTTTTTTCATTCAGTGCATTTTAAAAAATGTAAAACTGTCTCCAGATTACCTAGTTGTGTGGAGTTTCCTCTTTTCTCTTGCTGGAGGGTGGAAGTCAGGATGCCGTTCTAAAAGAAAGAGGTTACTTTTATTTCTTTGGTGGCTGTCTGGATAGATAAGAGGGCAGGGTTCCAGGCACACCAGCCTACTGAACAGGTTCACTTAATTATACCTGCATGTGGCACTTCCTGTTCTTGTAGACCGATGGCTTCTTGTTCCTTTGTCTTCTGCAGGCACAACCCGAAATCCAAGAGAAGGAGAGGTGCCTGGCGTGGATTACAACTTTCTGACTGTGAAGGAGTTCCTGGACCTCGAGCAAAGCGGGAATCTTCTAGAAGTTGGCACCTATGAAGGTGAGCTCCTCTATTGCTCTGAAGCCACAGGAAGTGTGTCGCTCCTGAGTATTCCCAAGGCTGTCAGGGTAAAATGGATTACAGCCTGAGGAACTCTAAACAAATAATAGGATATTGCAGTTTGCTTCATATGATTAAGCGAAATAAAATATATGGAGTAGAGCTTTGTGGTGGTCTTTACAAATCCAGAAGTTTTGTCTTTTGGCTTATGAATTGAAGTGTATTGTTTTGTGTTTCGTATGGACGTAGGTGGGATTTGAAGAAAGAAGAGGAAGAATCGTGGGTAATCACGTGGTGTGACCTTATGGGAAGTGTTGTTTTACTTCTGAAGGAATGGAACACCCTTTGTACTGCTGGTTGGTTTCTGATGTTCTTCAGGAGTCTTTTGTGCTGCTTACTTTCTGTGAACTGTTTCCATAGTTCATAGGGCAAAATATTCAGTAAATGACCTACCACCTGCACTGCTTTTCAGTTCAGCTTCAGTTCCACAAAGTGTGGCTGATGGGTGAGTCTCTCATTTCTCTTCTGAAGTTCGGTTATGTAGTTGTTAGCGTGTGCCCTCACATGTGTGCGTGTACATCTCTGTGTGTTCCTGCTCCTTCCCTGTCTTACACGCAACGCAGTATGCAGTGCACTCTGACACCTTGCTCTTTTGGTTGTCTGTCCTCCTCCTCCTCGTCTTCCTCCTCCTCCTCCTCTTCCTCCTCTTTCGTTTTGGTTTTACTATAACTTGTTTAACTGGTTTTCCAAATGTATATTTATATACATATTTCTTTTAATTAAAAAGTTACATTGAAGTCTTTGCTTCTCTTTTCTGTGTGCTAAACACTTCTCCATACTTTATCCTGTTACACTGAAATAGATCCTTGCTAAGACCAAAAAAATTTAAGTTGACAAGTAATAATTACTATGTATACAGGGTATATGCTTCAGTATGTTTATGTAATGTGTAAGGATCAATACAGGCTAATTGGCATATCTCCCACTTCAAACATTTATCTATCTCTCTACCTATCTATTTATTTATTTTTGCCATGCTGGCGATCAAACTCAGGGCTTTGCACGTGCTAGGCAAGTGCTCTACCACTGAACTAAGTCCCCAACGCTTGATTTTTTGAGGCTGGTCTTGCCATGTCTTTCTTTACTCTGTATGGCTCAGGTTAGCCTTGAATTCAGTATGTAGTCAGTCTGGCCTGGAACTCATGATCTTCCTGCTTTCACTTCCCAAGTGCTGGGATTACAGGCATGTGCTACCATGTCCAGCTATCTTTTCCTTGTGTTAGGAATATTCAAAATCCTCTCTCCTAATTGTTTTCAAGTGTACAGTTAATTGTTGTCCATCTGTAGTTATCCTGCTGTAGACTAGAGCGGTAGAAGTTACTCTTCCTATCCAATTGCATCCGTGTTCCCATTAACCATCCTCTCTTCATCTCCCCTTCCCCAGCAGTTTGCAATCTCTAATCATCACTGTTTTACTTTATATCTCTATGAGACCATCTTCTTTAGCTGCACATTCAGGTGAGAATATGGTTTTCCATGCTTGCCTGATTTATGTTCTCCATGCTCATCCATATTGACACTAATGATCAGTTTGCTTTTTATGACTGAATAATATTTCCCTGTGTATGTAAAGCACATATCTTTTCATTTGTGGGTAGACATGTGAATTGATTCCATGTGCTGGCTGTAAAGATTGGAGCAATAAACATCGAAGTATAGATATGTCTATGACACAGTGACTTACTTCTTATGGATATATACATGGTAATTGGATTGCTAGATGAAATGGTGGCTCTATTTCTAGTTTTCTAAGGAACCTACCTGTTTTTATAATGGCTCTAATAATTTCCATTCATTGTATAAGAGTTCCCTTTTCTCCACATCTAGTGCTTACTTTTTGCTAGTATTTGTTACTTTTGGGGTTTTTTTTTTTGATAATAGCTATTCTAACTGGAATGAGATAATATCCCATTATGGGTTTGATTTGCACTTTCATAGGCGATGTTGAGAAATGCTATATACTTGTTTATTTGTGTCTCTTCAGAGTGTTAAGTTTTCTGGACACAATACTACAGCTTGATCTTTGGAGTGTGGTATGGTGCTATTAACTAAGTCAAATTATTAATCTGCTTATAGTTCTTTATAAAGTTTTAATACTTAGATTTAATGGATAATCACAGAGCACTTAAAAGTTTAAGCTTAAAACAAAGATAAATAGAAAGTTAATTATTATTTAATCAGGGGCAATATAGCTTTGACATAATAGCCCCTAGAAGTCAAGTCATGATCATGAATCTTAGGTGTGTGGTTTCTGGTTTGATGGATCCAGAAGGGGAAGGAGTACTACCTCTACACCTGTTGCTTATTTTTCCAAACTGTGAATATTCGTTGGATGGACAGTTATTTTGGGTGCTGTTCATTACCAATTGGCTTAGTTCCCTGGACACCAATGTGAGCAGGTTTCTATGGATTGGGTGGGGATCTATGAAAGATTAAGGTTGGAGTGAAGTGAGTAAGGGAAGGGAGTGGAGGGGTTGCACAAGGAGCTTCTTGTCCTTGTGATGCTAGTTAAAAGTTCAGCAACCACAGTAAAGCAGGTACGACCAAACTCCTCTTTGGTTAGTAGTGAATTGTCTTTTATTTGAAATTAGTTATGCCAGTCTGGGGAGCCCAAGTCCCCAGACATTGCATCCACTTGCATTTGAAGGGAGACACAATAAAAGAATATGGGATGGAAAGGCAAAGCTTATGATCTAGACAACAGTTTAATTTGGGGAAAGAAAAGTAAACTCACTTATTCAGATGTTTATGTGACAAATTACATTTAGGTGGAGCAATTTCCTTTTCTCATTTAGCTTCATCATTGCAACAAGGGTAGCTGTTATTGTTGCTGAATTTTTAGATGGAAATGCTGAAGCCAGATGACAGTAAGTAACTTTCTCAAAGTTGTACAGTGGTTCTAGGATGCTACAGCAGGAACCAAACCCAGCTCAGTATGACTTTCAGAACCTATACTCTTTCCTGAAAACCTCAAGAATATCCTGGGTACAACAAATCACCCATTAGAACTTCAGTACTTCCTGATGTATAGCAGGAGGGAAATAAATATTTTTTTGGAAAATATCTGATTGTCTTTAAAATTGTATTCCAGCCAATGCAAGTTGATTATTGCTGAGTTGAAATTTTCTAAAACCCCAGATTAATCCCTTTCACATATTTGACATGTGTGGGCTTCCGCCTTTGACTTTTCTGTGGTTGAATTTCCCTGCCATCTGAGATAGCTCATGACTTTTTGCAACTGATGGAGTATATTATGTTGACTCTTACAAGCTGAGAACAAAATGGAATTGTTGTTAAGTGCTGGGTACTACAGCAGGAAGAGTGCCAGGGAGATGCTGAGAGGCCTGCCTCTATCCTGGCCTCCCGTGGGTGACAGCCATGTATGATCTGTCAGTGGACACTTAACAAGCAGGTAGACTCTGTAGACACACTGCCTGGGTTTGAGTCTCAGTCTCTTCTGTTGAGCAGTGTGCCCTCCAGCAAGTCACTTAATGCTTCATGTCTCCCTTTCCCTTTGGTAAAATGGCAACAATCACAGTGCCTCCTTATAGGTAGGACTTAATGAGACAGTAACTGGAAAGGGCTTCACCAAGTTCCTGACACGTGTAAGCTCTCAATTAACATTGGCTCTTATATTTTCATACACAACTGGTCTGAAATTGCTACCACAGTGCTTTCTCACTCTTCTTCCAGTCAGCAAGCTGCAGATTTTCCAGTAAAATATCTGTGCTTACTTCCCAGGTTCTAACCACCTTTTTTTAACCTCCTCCAATTTCTTTCTCTGGGCCTGTATTGATTCCATAGAGGAGAAGAAGTGTAGTACCATATTTAAGTAAAAGTAATCATGCTCCTGATTGTTATTGTGTAGATAAGTGTTCCCTGTGTACTCAACACTTGGTACCGAGCCTATGGGGTCAATTAGGAAGTGATAGAACCTTTAAGGTGGGACCTATTTGGAAGTCTTCCAGTCTTATAGGGGCCTGGGCTCTCCTCTCTCTCTTTTCCTCTCTCTGTCACATAAGATGAGCACATTGCACTATCAGGTGTTCCCACCATGGCATGTTTCCTTGTTATAGGCCCAAAGTGAAAGAGTCAACTGGTTCTGCAGCCTAGGTTGCAGAATCACTGGAACCTCTGACACTGTGAGCCAAAATAAAAACTTCCTTTTTCTTAGTTGATTATCTCAGGTATTTTGTATTCCATCACACAATGATGCAATAATTCCTACCATAAAGAACTTCAAAATCTTTAAGTCCAACTTGCTTGCCCCTCTCCCCCTAGGTGACCAGTACTAAAGTATCAGGTGCAAATATTCAGAAAATTTACACACAAATGACATATACATATATACTCTTGTTTATTTTGCTCTTTTCTTGCTCTTTCTACACATTACCCCATACGCTTCTATCATATTCTTTATAATGCTGCGTGGTATCCAAGTATATGAATATACAAAATATTTTTAACCAGTCCTCTATGGATGGACATTTAGGATGTTCCTTACCACAGCACCTTTTTTGGGGGTGGAGCATATTGTTATAAATAGTGCTAAGGTAAGCATCCCTGTACACATGTCTCTGTATGCTGTTGGGAGTAGAGAAATACGTGGTCGGTTTCTAGCACTGCATTTTTTTTTTTTTTTCTTTTCAGATGGGCTCTAACTATGTTGCCTAGGCTAGTCTTGAACACTTGTGCTAAGTAATTCTTCTGCCTCAACAGTTTAGTTTTAAAGCCCTTTCTTGCATTCACAATTCATTTCAACAAGCATCTCTAAGTGTTTATTTTGTCTTGAGGCCACCGGTGTGATGTACAGGACAGAAGACCAGAGCAGCTCTGCCTTGGAGAGTGTTCATGCTTAATAGTTACTTATTTTTGCTAACACTCGTACAGCACATATTCTGTGCAGGGTGCTCTCTAAAGTACATTATATGCACCAACTC